GGCACAATATCAGCATTCAAATGCACAACAGCAGCCTTCACAGGCTCAATGATCAACAAGAGCATATAAATGCTGAGCCTACACAACAATGAGCCTGTACAGGCTGCACAGTGCACAACACACTACACTGTTTTTCCACACCAGGCCAGAGGAGGTTGTTAGATGTACTTTTTGTACACTTCAGGTCCCTTCTTCCTATACTTCTCATGAAGCTCTTTGAGCCCATGCTGCAAGGAGTGGTGATCCTGCAGCTTGTCAAAGGCCCTGTCCAACTCAGCTTCATCGCCAACCTTCCACATGTGCACCAGAGCTGTGGCCTTGTTTTGCCATCCTGAATGCTTCTTGTTCTCTGGGTCCTTAGATAGCATTGTAAACACCTATCAATATGGTTTTGTTTTTGCTATTACAAAATGAACAATTGCAACATTCAATACATCACTGAGCCTCCACAGGGTTCAAAATTGTAGCTACACACATAAACAATACCTCACTGAGCCTCCACAGGCTTCAAACTAATATTATTTACAAACATGAGCCTGCACAGGCATAGATTCTAAACACATGCCAAAGCTCAGTGGTGTCCTTCCACCTGCCCCAGCCATGCCCCTGTTTCCACCACCACCAAAGGCCTGTATTGGTGTCATCCATTTCCCACCATACATCACCATCCCATCCATAGGTCTTGTCCCTCTGCTCAACCTTCACTGGCTGTGCTGTCTGCATAGGTTCTGCAGCCTGCTGTCGATGCACTGCCTGTGGAGCCTGTGCTGCATGTTGTGGGGCCTGTGGTGCAGTGCCTTGTGTAGCCTGCCTTGCAGGTGCTGCAGCTTGCTGTGCAGGAGCTTGTGTAGCCTGCCTTGCAGGTGCTGCAGCTTGCTGTGCAGGAGCTTGTGGGGGCTTACTGGCTTGTGGTGCAGCAGTCTGTGTGGGTTTGGCCACAGTTGTACCCTCAGCTGGTGGAGCCACAGGTTGTGTTGTCTGTTTGGGTTTGGCCACAGTTGGTGCAGCCACAGCTGGTGGAGCCACAGGTTGTGTTGTCTTTGGTGCTTGTTCTTGTGGCTTTCCCTGTTGCTGTTGTGGAACAGCCTGTGTTGGCCCTTGCTCTGGCTGTTGGTTTTGAACTGGTTGTGGCAAAGGCCTGGGTCGCTTTTGCTGTGCCTTTGGAGTTGGTGCCACCTGAGAGCTTCATTCTGACATCTTACATATGATTATAGTGTGTTTGCCAAATGAGCCTGTACAGGCTGTCAACTAAAAGCTCAATGAAGCACATGCCAAACATTTTTTCATTTGCAACTTAGCTACAAAGCAGTCATCTGTAGATCTCTTTTTGTTCTTGTCCTCTAGCACCTGCAAGCCAAAGCACACTGAAACATGTTGAACAACATTGAGCAACTACCACAGCTTGAGCCTGTACAGGCTGGTTTGAGCCTACACAGGCTGGCTGGAACCTACACAGGTTTGCTGTATACAGGCTACCAGTGCTTGTGTTCAATTCCAAAAAAACACATGGCCTCAGCTGTAGGATCCTGTGATGCCTGAGTGCATGGTTTGGCCAACTTTGGTCAATAGTGAACATTGTCACACAATGCTGGTTTCCATTTCAACTGTCAACATGAGCCTGTACTGGCATTAGCAAACATATCAATGTTGAAGAAGCTGTTAGACTTGCTGCAAACTTCCTCCTATGAAGTAAAGTATTGAGACTGGTGTAACACTGCTGTGTTTTGGTGACTGCCCTGCCTTGCCATGTTCATGGCCATCGCTTTGCTCCTGCTGCTGTGGCTGGTACAGTTGCCCCACACTAAATGCACAATGAGCCTGCAGTGGGCTTCTATAAGGCTTTCAAGAGCTGAAACACCTAACCAAGCTGCAGGCAGGCCTTGTACCATGCCTTCTCTGCCTTCTCTGCTTCCTTGGCAGAATGATAGAATAAAAAGAACACTATGTATGAGCCAACAAAGGTTCACACCAATCACAACAACTACACAGTCTCATGCAAAACAAAGGCATAGCCAAGCAGCCTCCTGTTCCTTCCACTCCAACCACATGGACTCCAGGCTGAACTCAGCAGGCCAGTCCATGGATGCAGCCCTGAAGCCCTGAAGCCCTTAAGCATTCAAAGGCTACAGAAAACAAACCCCTTAAGATGTGGCCAACCTTCACCTGACACCTGCCTTTTAAGAAACATGAGCCTGCGCAAGGCTGCAACAAAAACATTCAACATGAGCCTGTAAAGGCACCCAGAATGAGCCTGTAAAGGCATCCATCATAAGCCTACAAACACAAACCAAATGAGCCTGTACAGGCACTCACCACAAGCCTCCAAACACAAACCAACATAAGCCTGCACAGGCTTCAAGTTCAGCTGCAAAAGGACTGTTTTAGACAACAGCAGTGCTCAACATTCAATCCTCCTCACTGACCTTTCTAGCTTTCTTGGCATATTGCCCTGACTTGTTGTATGGTCTTTTGCCCTTGTTGAAGAGAGGATGGGTGTCCTCCATGATGAAATCAAACACAGCATTCAGAGAGTCCACTTTTAGTGGGATGATCAGGTCACTCTCTTTCCAATTCTTTGGTGTTCTCACTGTGACATAGGCACCATTGAGCTCAATCAGAACTGTTGCAGGTGCATTGGCAAGGATGTCTTTCTGCTTGCCCTTGGCATCCTCTTGTTCTTCACACTCTTCACCAAAAGGGTTTGGTGCATCACCATCTTCTTTCAATTTGCCCTTGACCTTCTTCCAAATGATCTTCAGCTGTGGGCTGTTGGCCAAGCTTGGGTTTGACAAAGTCTTGAACCGGTCCATGTGCCCCAGGACCAACTTGGCAATGCTGAAGTTGGAAGGCCTGAGCCTCAGCCATTTGCCACCAAACTGGTCTTCATTGATCAGCCCCTTTGGTAGAGCAATGGGTGGTCCATCCCTGTACTTCACAGTGACAACCTCAGAGATCTCCACCATGTTGCACAGCTGGGGTTCTTAACACCTACATTTGCGCCAATATGTACACACATGGCTGCAAGCTTGGACTGTAGCAAGCGCAGGCAGAAGCAACATGAGCTTGCAAAAGCTGTGCCAACAAAACAGAGCCTGCAGGGGCTGCACCAAGTACACACCAAAACATTAAACCACACATGAGCTTGCAAAAGCTGTGACAACTGAGCTTGTAGAAGCCTCACCAAGCAACCCAGCTTACCAGAGCTAAACAAGATGCTGCACAACTTGCTGCGCAAACCATTTCTCAGCAAGCTGTTGTACCCAGGGTGTCTATACAAGGTCACTTTGCACCAACTTTCCTTTTCTTTGGTGCACTCTCTTTCTCCTCAGCAGGCTCAACCAGCAATGGGGTGCCCTCTTCTATCAATCTCTTATTCACATAGGCTGGGATACTGTACTTACCAGCTTTGATGCTTGTCCTGGACAGGCAGCACTCATCAGCTGATGTGCCCTCCTTCACCATCCAATAGGGGATGAATGCACCTGTGCGCTTCACAAAGTCAACCCTCCATGGTGTGATGATGAAGCAATGATCCTTCATGTCTGGTGCCTTGATGCTGCATGAGGTCTTCAGCAGCTTGTCCACATGCACAACCTGCACAAAGCCCAATGGCATGATCACCAGCTTGCCCTTGCCAATCCTTCCACCAGCAAATACTTGGTGGGTGTTGGAGACAGCCACATCCTGATCTCCAAGCCTGGGCTGCAGGGGTGCAATATAAAGATATGGTATGGGCACAAGACATGACCAACAAACATGTGAAAATGCTACTCATACAGCTGAGAAACTCTTTGTATTTGTCATACAGTGCACACTGCAAATTGGCCTTGGCCATCTCTTCAGCCAACATTGCAGACTTGCATGGAAGTAGCTCTTGCCTCACCCTGGCATCCACCAATGCAGGCTGAGGCTTGTTCCATTCCCTGAGGTGCTTCAAATCAGCAAGTGTCACTTCTTTGTGTTCCACCTCTCCAAAGAAGGGCTGGTGGGAAAGCTTGCCGCCTTCAGCTGACAAAGTGTCCAGCTTCCAAATCTTTCCTGCATTGTCTTCATCTGCAGTGGCTTTGATCAAATACAGCTTGTTGACTTTGATGTGCTTGTTCGCATTCAAAGCAATGGCCACTGTGTCAGTTGCTTCCTCCAGGCCCTTCACAGAGCTGCTGGCCTCTTCCTTCTTTCCTTTTGAGTCTTCCATAGGGAGACCACTATTGCGCAATAAGATGTCTGTCTTGAACTTCTCATTGATGTCATCCATGGTCTCATAGACAACACCTTCTCTTCCTTTTTGCTGCTTGCCCAGGAGAAACAATGCCAACCTGATCTGGAACTTTCCAAAGGCAAGAGCAACTTTCTCCATTGCCAGAGAACTCTTTTCTACCATGCTCCATCCAGCATGCATGAGCTTCTCAGCCTTCAAGCTGTCATCATGTAATTTCTTGCCTTTCAACTTGTCCCAGTCTGCTCTTGTGATGAGTCTGCTGAAGCCATCCTTCTGAGCTGACTTGGGGCAGGTGAGCTGGCAACAGGCCAAAGCAATTCGAAGGAATGGGAATGTTGTTGTTGGCTCCTTCCAATCAAAGTATGCCAACAGCCAAGTAAAGTCCTCTCCAAAATTGATGGAACCACCATATTGTCGACCTTGGCTGCCCAAAATGCAAGGCATGCACATGAATATGTCTTAATATAAAGCCTGCGCAGGCTCTCATCTTTTCACATCATGTGAGCAGCATGAGCCTGCAAAGGCTGCTTTGCATCAATGCCACTGAGCAACACATGAAGTCCAAATACTTCAAAAGCTGGAAGGATTCACCACCAGCATAGGAAGCTACAAAGTCCCCAATGCTCTTGATGTAGCCCCTGCATGGAGGCATCCCTGCAGCAGCCTGGGCAACTGCCTTTGCAAGATCCTTCTTGTCCTCAGGCTGCATCTGGAAGATGTGAGCAATGGTCATGGCAACCTCCAATTCATTTGGAGGTTTGACAATGCCATGATCACCTTGGATGGTGTGGTGGACACCACTGCACATACAACCAGTTCAGCACACATAAAGCTAAACCATAAAAAAAGGTTCTGATCAAAGTGTCAAAAAAGTCACTATTGTATGCAGCCTGCAAAAAGCAACAGAAGTCAGGCACTTCAGCTTCGACCTGTGCTTTGACCACACACCATTCCCAGCCTTCTGTGAGCATCTTCCCAAGATCATCACCTTTGGCAACCAACTGCTCTAGGGAAAGATTGGAGCCACCTTCAAGGTCATCACCAGCATCCATTTTGCATCCATTCTCTAGACATCGAAGGAATGCACAGGTGTGGCTGGTGGAAAGGCTGCACACTCTTTCCTTGCCACTTGGCATGGGAAGCATGCCACCAGAACTAGATGCAAGAGCCTCATTGCACTCAATGATATGTGATCTCTTCTTGCTCTCAATAGGCAATTCCACACATACTGAAGGCCCCACTTTCTGAAGGCTCCACCCCACCTGGCAGATGGATTTTCCTTTGGAAATCACATCAAAGTGGTTGCACATCTGTCCTCCTCGATTGGAAGGATGTATCAAGACCTCTTTCGGTTTCAGGACTGTGGTGTATGCAAGTCCTGCTTGCTGCAACCCTGCCAAGGCTTTTGCAGCCTTTTGGTTGATGCCCATCTCATTGTCATTCAAAACCTTCTTGAGCTCCACCACCCAAGGAAGAGCCATGGTGCGCAAGCACTAAGAGTTCATGAACAAAGCACCTATATATGCTGTGTTGTTTGTGTTTCATGTGTTCTTATGTTGTGGTTGGTTGTCCCTTGTGTTCTTATCTTGTGGTTTGTTCTCTCTTCAACACATTCACCTTTTCATTGTATATATAGCTGCCCACCCCACAACATGTTACAATGCCATGGTGGCAGGCTGCAGTGCAAAAACCCATTTGAGCACGCACAGACCAACACAACTTGATCCTGCACAGGACTCCTCTTGTACAAAAGCCTGAAGCAACTTGAGCCTGCAAAGGCTGATGTAACTTGAGCCTGCAGAGGCTGAAGCAACCTGAGCCTGTAGAGGCTGAAACAACTTGAGGCTGAAGCAACCTGAGCCTGTAGAGGCTGAAACAACTTGAGCCTGTAGAGGCTGAAGCATACAACCTAAACACACAACATTTTCTCTAGTCAATTTTTAACTTTTGAAGTGTATGTTAATTGTGCTAATTTTGTTAATTCTTAAAAAATAGATTTAGAAATTGTCCTAAAAAATTAAATTCTTTAATGAAATTAACATAACAATTATTTTCCTTTAGTTATTAGCTTTAAAAAATGATGATAATATAAAGCCTTTAGGGCAATTGTAACTTGTTATAAGTAGTTATAACCCTATTGCAAATATGTTATGATGTAGTTAACAACACTTGTAACTAGCCTAACACAATAGCAAACCACCAGAACATCAAAGTAGTGTGTGCGAGAGTGCGCGCGCAACCACACCTTAATGATGCGCACGCCTGTACATATCTATTCGTGCACCTCATTCTTGTTCGCCGTGGCGTGGAAGCAGTGTCATTGCGTTGAAAGAACGCTAGCAAAATAGAAGGTTTATAGTCGCACGGAAGGGTTGAGCCTATTTGGCTATTCGGCCTATATTCGTAGAAATAGACCCGCCAAGAGCCCAAGGAGTGCTAGAAAACAATGACGCGTTGGTTATAGACAATCGCCTCGAAGCTGCAACAAAGGTCAACCTGACTCAAAGTCGACGGGGGTGCGGTTTTCAGCTCAGCCATGCTCATCCCCTCTATATCAGCTTTTGGTAATCAGGAAACTTCACAATAGACCACAATTCGGAATATTAACGGTTTGCACAACAGCTTCAAAAACATCACGACATTGCGCAGGTACGCGCGGCTAGGTCGTGCTTCCCCCAATCAGCAATTGTTTTTTTGGTGGCTGACCCCTTTATTTGGACCTTGATGCCTTTCACTGGCATGATCTGATGGTACCCTACTGTAGTGCTATGAATATCGCTTTTGGGCTACGGGCTGACTCACCAGCGTTTGGCCCCCGGGGTTATCACTCGTTTCACCATTGTGGGTTCTTTCAAGACGTTTATGTCAAATCAGAGGTGTTGCGCAAAACAGACAAACCGAAAATCAGGATGGGAGGGACTGGACAGCAGACCTTGAGTGTCTTGAAAATCCACTCAAGTCAAGTCATCGTCTTGGAGTTCATGAGTTCAAACACGATAAGATGAGTGGCCCGAAAAACAAAAAAGGGTAAAGCGCAGGGTCTTCTAGCCCTGCGCATGTTGCTTTCCTGCTAACCCCCGTTTACCCAACATGTGGCAACATTGCTACATTCAAACATAAATAGTATCGTAGTTTACAAAAACTTGCGGCTTGCCCCTTGCAGGACCAGCAACTTTTGCTGCAAAAACTTCAGCGCGCAGTTTGCCAATCAAACAATTACTTATCGAACATTGTGTTTTGAACTAAACCATGTTTTCCACAACAAGTTAACGTGAAAACTGAATTGAACGATAGCTGTTTGATTAAATATGCTTTGACTTGCGCACCGCATGTTTCATGTGGCACGGGGCCATTTGAATCGATGCTCAGGTGACATTGCAATGTGCGTTTACAGTTTTTGCATCTTGTCGGATGGCAGCGTCGGCGTGTATGACGAGTGTGACGGCTGGGATCCCATAAGAGGAATGCCGATGCCGCCGCCGAACTGATGGACATGAAAAAGCAGACGATCCAAGCCGGTGTGATTTTGTGTTTGTTGTTTTGAGCTGCCTGCTTGCCCAATTTCAGAGCGAACCAGTTTCACTAACCACAAGTCCAAAACCAAAGTTCACCCTACACTACCTGTCACTACTTTAAGAAACGCGGTTTTTAAACACGGTTTTTACAGAAAGAGGATAGTTTCCTAAGAAAAACGCAAAGTGGGTTTCTCACTCGCCTTCTACTTTTTCACTTCTCTTTGTCGGGAGATCATATACTCTCTCAACCTGGGACCCTTGTGCGAACTCACCACATCCTGTCACGTGCAAAAACCTGGCCCAGGCCACTGTTCCGAAGTGGATTGCCAGAGCCATAGCCCACACTGGCCCACATCCCCAGGAAAGCGGCCCAAAAAATTGTTCAAAGCGTAAGCGACATGCCACTTCGGCACAAAACCACATTTATGGCAGTCATTTTCAGTTTGTTGATCCGAGAATGTCAAGAGGAAGGTTCGGCCAAGCCTTTTCAATGTCCATTGCCTGGAGAGCTAGCCTGAGATGTTAAACTAAGTTCTTATATTTCCAACAAAAAAGATCGTAGGGAATCCCGCCCGCCAGGTGAGCGGTGCTATGAGACAGCCAATGGTCCGAATGGTGTTGAAAATTACGCAGGTGAACCCCTGCTTGTGTGGTATCCAAACTAGTTCTAGGTGAACTGCTGATAAACCAATCCAGTTTTGAATTTATCCTGCCCTGTAGCATAGGCATAGAGTATGACACTATGCGGAAACTAATGTGCCAAAGAATAGGCTCAGAACGTTTGAAAATTTGGACCCTGGCTATGGTTCAGCTCTAGCGCTAGCTTCTATAGCCCATCCTTCCCCTGGTCAAGCCGAAGTACGGGTTGGTGGCCCTCCTTCACCATCACCTGGCATCATCAGACTCATGATATAACATCTCATCTCTGCAACCCCAGGACCCCATCCAAAAATGTTATTTCAAAGGGTGTCTAAATGAGCATTTGAACCCATGAACGACGAACGTGCCAAACATCAAACATCTCAGAGGGCCACACGTTCGCAAGGCGACCGCAAAGACCAACTTTAAAAGACCAAGCTTAACCATAAACTTAAGCTTGATCGCGCGAGTTGGTCTTAGCGCTGGACGCTGGAGAGGTTTGAGTGAGCCACAAATGGCCCGCGCTTGCTGTTTTGGCTTTCAGCAACGGGCTGAAGAACCATAGCCCAACATGGCCCAAAAGGCCGAAGGTGCCCAGTGCATAGGCTGCGTAGGCAACGACATGGACAACCAACGATGTGAAATCTTGGTTGTGGCAACTTGGGACGCGTCTCTCGAACCATGGGCTGCACATTCATTCTCGTGCAGCTATTGTTGCAGGCCTTTTGCAACGGCTCGCAGTGTCAAGTTTCCCTCCGATTCGGGGGTTGATCATATTCCTGGCTCCCCCCAAAAGGATGTTTGTTTTTGAATTTTGCCCAGCTTGGCCGCAAAGACATCAGGCGCCTGTGCATGGAGCACGCGACGACAGCGAACTCTGTACTGCATCCTTCATCCAGGCTGGGAAGCGATTCAGGTCCAAGGTGATGCGTTTGCACGCATTTGTCCAAATGCCTTTGTATGGGCGCACTTGCGTACATGAAGGCTGAGAGAAGGCTGAGGGAAGGCTGAGAGAAGGCCAGAAGGCTCAGCGAGGTGTAAGGCTTAAGGCTCAAGGCAATGTGAATTTTTTTGGGCGTCGCAGATGGGCCTCGAGCGCTCGAAGTTCAGCAAGGCAGGCGCCGGCTTTTTTGGAGCTGTTTGGCGCAGAATTTCCGAATGCACAGATTTCTCCAATAATGATTTCATTTGATTTCAGATGTTTCGTAAGACATTTGCCTGATGTTGGGCTTGTCACGCTTGGTTCTATGGCGTGACTGAGCAGTCAGTCCTTAGCCTGGCCGTGAGGGGTGCTCGACACTGACGGAGGAGGACGTTGAGCGACCCATTCTGGAGGTCCTTGCAGAACATCCCGGAGAGGCGGGTGAGAATTTTTTCCCCAGGTGAGTTGTTCGATTTTATCAAAGCTGTCCCGTCCCACCTCCGCCTCCTCCTCCGCCTCCCGGTCCTCAACCGCCAGTGCTAGATCGCAGTGGGCGCCGCCGGACCTCAACCGCAAGTGCTAGATCGCAGTGGGCACTGCCGGGCCTCAACCGCAAGCGCTAGATTGCAGTATATATTATATACCACATAGAATCTAGAATGTCCGATTATATGCAAGATAGAATGCCAAAATGTATACCAGAAAGAACGTCAGAATATATGCCAAAGAGAATGGCAGAGTTTATGCCAGAAAGAATGTCAGACTTTAGGCTAGATAGAATGCTGTTAAAAGTATGCCAGAGAGAGAGAGAGTGTGTGTGCCAGCATAGGTGCCAGATAGAATGCCAGGATGTGCCAAATAGAACGCCCGAGGTTAGAATGTCAGAGCTTATGCCAGACAGAACGGCGAACGTATGCAAGATAGAATGCGAGAGTAAATTTGAGATAGATGGTTCCCAGAGAGAATGCCAGAAAATATGCCAAGTGGAACGGCAATATACATGTGAAAAAATATGTATGTACTTATATGTCAGATAGAATGCCAGATATAGCGCCAGAATGTATGCCAGTTAGAACGCCAGAGTTAATGCCAGTTAAGAGGGCCACTGCGTGCCAGATAGAATGCCAGAAGTTATGGCAGATAGAATGCCGATAGAACGTCAGAATTTATGCTGGTTGGAATGGCAGAGTGTGAGCCAGATAGTATTCCAGATAGAATACCAAAATTTATGCCCGAATATTTTGCAGATAGATGCCCGAGGCTTGTTGTTACATTGTGGTATCTAGTCTGTGGCACACCGCGTGGAAATTACGTCTGTGATGTCGCTGCGCCGTGCGGTTTTGCGCAGCAGCCTCAGTGGAAAGTGTGTTTGTGTGGCTCCGTGCAATTGGGGAACGGGAAACATGTGTGTGTGTGTGTATAAACACGGCATGTCGCTGGTGAGCGGGGTAAGTGGTGGTTTCCCAGAAGAGTGCCCTACAAGAGTGCCCCACAAGAATGCATTACAAGAGTGTCCCACAAGAACCCTACAGTGTCCCACGGCGAGAAGAGTGTCTTCACAACTGTCTCACAAATGTCACGCAAGAGGGCCTTACAAAGAGTGTCAGGAAGAGTGTCCTACGCGTGTTAAATATCATATAAGGATGTCCCACAACACTGTCCTACACACGTGTCCCTGCAAGAGTGTTGTTCATGAACCCACCACAGGCCCCACAGGTATATCTTGAGATTATCAGATCTACTTTATGTTCGAATTGGCACCATGCGACCATCATCCACCATCATCATCATCATCATCATCATCATCGTATTCTTACATGCATTTGTCCAGGCGCTCCGGGGCCTTTCGTTGTCTAGTTTTTTGGTCGCAAAGTCCAGGATGGCTGGTGCCTTTACGGAGATCTCGTTGGAGGGACAGACTGTGCTGCTGCGCACAAGGCTAATGACTTGAGTTCCTACAGGCAGCTTTTGGGCTCTCCACTAGACTCCAAGTGCCTAAACTCTTGGGTTCCTAAGACGATTGTGATGCCTGGGGTGGAAGTGGCACCTGGCATCACCAACGTGACTCTCGATGGCTCCCTTGGTTCGAACGCATTGGAAGCAATGGATTGCTTTGTAAATGGTTTTTGGAAAGCTCCCAGTGACGTCATGATCAAAAACTTCAGTACGGTGGCAACGTTCTCGTCCTTATACTGTGCATACATGTCGACAGTCGTGCCCAACTATCAGAAGATTACGATGCGAGACTTTCTGATGGAACAAACAGCTGATAGCCGGGCTCTGTGCGACTTGCTTCATCCCGATCAGGAAAATGGTGCTCGCGTAGTGCACGCACCTCCGTCCCTGAAAGCTGGTCTGATGCTGCGTGGCGCAGTGCGCTGCTTGCTGTCGAGCAATTCAGTTAGCGACAACGGCTCGGTGATCTGTGACATGGCAGGCTGCGCCAGACAGTTTTGCATGGGACCACAGATGCACTACCAGGATGCCTCTCTGTGTTGAAACAAGAAGCTGGGAGATGTTTTAGATGTTCAAACGCCAGAAACGGAGTATCAGCCCGAAAAAGGAGCGATGCGTGCCAGCAAGATGTTTCCTTTGTGGTTTGAGTTGAGTTAGCCTGAAACGTCCTTAAGCCCCGCATGGGCAGAAAACTTAGAATGCATGTGTCTTTTTGAATTATATACCAATTCAGTCTCACAGTCACACTGCATCAAACCGTAGCCACTCGATCATGTCCGGCTGAGCTGTTCGGCGCTGTGACAGAAGCTGTGACAGAAGCTCATGGCACAGTTCGCGCGCTGTTTCTCCTTTTTCTTGTGCGCTCTTTCATTGGCTGAAGAGTGCCAGGCCTGGGTGCTGGCTGTGACAAACTCTTGGCACAAACTATGTAGCTATATAAATATCACTGTTTGGAGGCGCTGGCAATGTATTTTTCTCTTTCTGACACCAGATCGCTCGATCGCTGACACAGAGCAGGATGAGACGACAGCAGTTTGGCAGCTGCAGTTGCAATCGGCGCTTTCGGCCAATCCGTCGTCGGGTATTTGCGCCAGCCCAGCTCCCGAGGACCAAGGCTTCTACATCTAGCGCCCGACTGGGCTCAACCAGCCAACCAGAATCGATTGAACGTTGCGGTTTGGTTTGGTGGTTTGGACTTGGTTGAGGCCAAACATGTCAGTCTTTAATTCCGCAAGAGGACGCAAACAAGTAGAACAACTACTAGACGACAGTGAGGCCCTAAAGCAAGGTAGGAGGGTAATGTGGCTGAGAGGGCGATACCATTACACCAGACTTAAGGTGCAGTAAACTGTTTGAAAGCAAATGTTGCATTACAGCTCCGTCTCTCCATACTCTATGCCTGGTGACCCAATAAGACTATTTCCCGCACTCCTGGGGATCAAGCTCCTTGAGCTTCGCTATGGCTGCCGAAGGTTTCGCCATGCGCCCGCCCCGCACACGCACAAGGCAAGAGTCCAATTTCATCAAACTACATTTGAGGGTGACTAGGTTTCATGTGAACAAATTGCATCTCAAGACTGACTGTGTTGAAATGAGTGCATGTCTTGATTGGGAAAAGCACAGTTGCTTTGATATGTATGCGTGAGATGCTACAGTGTGATTGAACATCTAAGATGAATGGCATCAGACATGTGACCTCAGACATGTGAGCCACTGACTTGCTGAGACAAACAAACGTCTTCACGCTTAGATCCACAATAGGACACAATCAACAAACAACATTTAAAACCAAAAACGTTGAGACTGTTGCAAGTCCCATGTTGCCAAACAACATCAAAAACAACAACAACATGAGACTGGCAGCAGGTCGTCCCAATGGTCCAGCCAACCTTCCACGTCAATCGACCAAGCGGAGATGCTCTGTCGCCTTTGGCGCCTGGAGAACATCGTCTGAAAACGCCACCTGGGCAACAAACGACAGTGGCAGGGAACAGAACTGAGGCCATACAGCAAGCCAACTCACAAACACAGTGAGAATGACCAATTACAACAGGCATTTCGCATTTCAACGGCCCTGAGGGGCTCAACAAAGAACCAAACAATCCAAGACATCCAAGAAACAGTTCACCAGCAAACTGAACAAATGGACAATACAATAAACGCCTCACTCATGCTTTGGAGAAGAAACCTATATGCAAAGTCTCAAAGCAGAACAACAAGTTGACATGAGACTGACTTGTCACGTTTTTTGGAACATTTTCGAAGGCATTGTCAGCACTAAGGAGCGAGCCAGACGATGCATGCATCGAGCGTATACCCTACTATGTCATGTACAATTGACTAACAGTTCCCGACCAAACTAGGTAGTTTTACATCATCATTCGCTGCGCAGAAGGCAGACATGTTTGCGTTCACTGCTACTCGTGATGTCACTGCGTTCGTTGTTAGTGGCTTTCCTGAGCAGGGTGCAACACCAGACACATGAATCACGAGGATAAATTTGATCGCTATTCTTGGAACCATTGATGCTGGTAAATCAAGGAAGCTACAAAGTTTATATATAATCATTGTGTTGTCTCTGAACATTGGACTTTAGATTGTTGAACACGTTGTAGCATTATCCCAAGTTACAAAGACATCAACACTGCACTGTTCATGATTAAGTGTCAATATTAGAGCCGCACCGCTTGAGATTCCAAATAAAAATGTTAAACACCATAGTTAAAACGACTAACACAAAAGATACAAAAGCATTTAAAGTACATTTTGTCATTTTTCTTACCCTGTGGAAGCCTTCCCATCTAAAACCCCGCAGTTCCATGGTATCAATTTCTCCGAGTGAGTCATCTACTGGGACCGAAACGAACACTTTTCTCTTGGCCTTTTTCGCCATGCGCACTGATTTGGCGAGGATTACGACAAACCCATTTCTGCTGTGTTAGAAAAGTATCCTGGACGTGATGGTTGGTGCATCTTCGGGGCCGCCGCTGATTGGTGCAGCACATGCGCAATTGGCCGCGAACAGAAGGATATGAGGCCCTACGCTGAACACCAGATGAAGGTAATTGCCACGACGGAGTATAAGTATTTGCAGACCGGCAAGGAGCCCAAAAAGGTTTTGCTGCCAGAAGGCACGTCCTATGAGTCTTTGAGCAATGTGAGGGACTACCATGATCTATTCTGCGCACTGAATGGTCTCTTTAATGTCTCGCGCTCCGCGGCTCTCGACGATTTCGAGTATCTCGCGCAAGTCTCTGAACAGAGATGTCTTGGTGTGCAAAGCAAAGTGTGGAACTACTTTGGTCTTTCCATCAACAACTTGCTTTTGGATCCGTATCCTCTCGGGGATGCTCTCATAGAAATTCTCACCAGCGACAAGCCGGTTGTGTATTTGAACCAGTCCTTTGTCGACATGTTTCATTACGAGGCTGCTGTCCAATGTCGTCTTGGGAACGACAAAGGGGCTCTGTGTGTCATGTCCTACTGCGCCCTTCGAGGCTGCATGGAACCTGATGGCGTGGTGGGGCAAACCAAACATGGAGAATGCCCTCCAATTTGATGGTGTTTGTCACTGTAAAGTGCGCTTGGAAAAGCGTTCTACATAATAGGTGCTTAGAATATCATGAATATAACACATACATGATATAACTATATATATACACATATTTTTAATGAGATTCGCCAACTGCTAGGTGAGGATTGTTAGATTTTATTATGTCAACTTCGCCGCCTCCTCCTGCTTCTTTCGCTGCAAGCTCCGGAATGTAATGGACACCACCGGACCCGAACCGTGCGTGTTAGATTTCAATGGGCATCGCCCATATAAACCAAATAGAATTGCAGAAAGAACGCTAGAAGAAATGACAATTAGATTACTGGAAAAAACATATGAACTTTTTGTTTAAAGGAATATTAAAATATAAATATAGGAATATATATTACATAGAATGATTGAATTAATGCTAGATAAAATATAGTAATATAAATTAAATATCGGAATATATTTTAAATTATAGGAATACAGAAATATCTAAATATATAATATATGGAACACATAAAATATTATGATATTTCCGAAAATTTAATGAATATATATTTTTAGAAAAATAATTATAGAAAGTAACGATATTAAATTTATATATTATAAAATATTTTAAACAAATATAATATATATATTGTAAAATTGATGAATTATGTGCATGATCTTTCCCTCCCTGACAGGTGATACGATAGCCGAGCGGAATTTCACACACTTATTGATGATGATGGTTTCGGTTCGAATGCTTTACTTAGGCCTTGAGCCCGAGCGAGCCCGTGAAAAGGTTCGTTTGCGCTTATTCCGCGCTTTGCATTGGTAGGCGGAGCCTAGTTGCTCCGAGGCTGGTGTGTTGCCATCTTGTTCGCCTTGCGGATTGATTGGTGTCCCTTCTTTTGGAGCTGGAACTTGGAGCGGTCGTATTTGTGCCTTTCATTGTTCGGTGGATAGCAGTCTGGGGTGATTTTGGCTTATTATTGTACCGGAATTGTCATTCTCGAGTATTTTGTGAAGGCTGGACACTTCGGAAGTTGTTGAGGTAATTTGGTGCAAATTTTGTTGGCTCGCAATATTACCTTTGATTTTTGCACGATTTCAATTTTATAATGCAATTAAATGGGCAATTATTGTATGTTGACCCGAAGTCCAACGTTGTGCACTATGACGGCAATCCAAAGTTGGTTGAAGAATACGAAGAGCGGGTCTGGCTGGGTTTTTAAACTGTGATAAAGGAAGAGAAAGTGTCCTATGCAGCGAAACTCAAGAATGCATTGCATGGCCGTGCATGGACACTCTGTCACAGGAAACCTGAGATCGCAGCTCAGAAACTCCTTCAGCTGAGCGAATCGGATCCGAGCACAACAACAGGACCACGAGCAGCAGTACAACTGGTGGTGAAGGTTGTGAGGAATGCTTGTGAGAAGGTTGCTCCATTGTTCAAGACCCAGACCTTCGAAGACTACTTCTTTGAGAAAGGTCGAAAAAAGGCATCCGAAAGCATCCAAGACTACATCAGTCGCCGGGAGAATGAGTATGAGAAGCTGACAAGCTTTCGACTGATCTGCAAGCCTTTTTCCTATTGAGGAATGCTGGTGTGAATTCATCGCAACATCGTGCCATCCTGGGACAGGCAGGGAATGAGTATGATTGGGACAAGATTGTTGAAGCTATGCTCATTCAATTGGACGGTGGTGATGACATCAGCAGCAACAAGGGTTGGAAAGGCGGTTTCAAGTCAAGACAACAAAGCAGCTACAACACAGGTGGCAAAAGAAGCACATGGGCCTACCCGATTGAAGAGGAGTGGTCAAGCTATGATGGTGAGACTGAGGATGTGTATGCAGTCGATGATTGGTACCATGATGATGAAACTGCTGAAGAAAGAATCCCCATCTATGAAGTGGAAGAAGACATCCAGTTCGACATCGAGGAGATGGAACATGCCGTGGAGGTGATGGCAATTGATGATCTTTCTCTGGAGGAATTGGACATCTTCGCCATGACTGCTCAGAAGATGGGTAAAGGTGCTTCAGAGTATGCTCGCAAAAGACAAGCGGTCAGAGATGGTAAGGTCAACAGAGGATATCAACCCAGCGCAGTTGGACACAATCGGACAGCAATTGCATTGGATGGCAAGGTGACTTTCAATGCAGGACAGCTATAAGACAAGTTGCAGCAGATCAAGTCACGAACGCAGTGCTATGACTGTGGACAAAAGGGACACTGGCGTGGTGACAAGTCATGCCCAAAGAGCACGAGTTCATCATCAGGTTCAAAAGGCGGCAAGAAAGGCTCTGGAAAGAAAGGAGGCCGCAAGGGTGGTTTTCTCCAGAGGACTGGAATGGCAGCAGCTATGCTCGCCTCGGCATCGGGACAGCTGCTTGCATCGTGCCAAGATGCTCTGAACTGTTTGAACTTGTCGTGCATGGAGGAGTTCCGTGAGTTTGACATTGAGGACCAGATCCACAGCTGGCCCAAGTTCGAAACCTTTGAGGAGCTGCAGCCATTGTCGCAGGTGGACGCCTTCATGACGAATGAATCTGATCTAGCAACAATTCCGCACAGCCTGACATTCATGGCCGGAGCCGGACGTGAGACAGTACCGTCCGGAATGTGTGTTGTTGACACAGCTGCATTGATTGGTTGCGGTGGTGACCGAACATTGGACCGATTTTTTGGCAAGTTTGGAAGCGAGACAACTCTCCAGACATCCAACAAGGTTCTGAAAGGAGTCAATGCTGACGCGCCAGTTCTTGTGCAGCATCAGCAGTGGATCGACATTCACATTGCCGGTCAAAAAGGTCGTGTGGCTTTGCATCGAATTCCCAATTCTGATGTTCCATTGTTGTTGGGCCTTCCGCAACTCAAAGAGCTTGGTGCAGTCATTGATCTCATTGCAGTGCCAAAGCCGACCATTCAGTTTACCTCCATTGGTTCGGAAAAGGTAACCTTGGAATATGGGAAAGGTGGTCATTTGCTTTTGGACATTGGTCACAACAGTGAGAAGAGAAAAGACACTAAGCTGGCAGGTGAGACAGTTGAGGTGTTTCATCAGTTGAAGGCTAAAGACTACAATGTGGAGTCGATCAGGATCATGAAGGGGAAGCTGCGAAAGAAAGTTCAACAGATGGCTGAACAGGCTAAAGAACATGGAAGAGCTCTATGGAAAGAACTACGAAAGGGAGCCATGAAGCATCGGAGAAAAGTGCTTGTGAAGGAGCTGTACAGTGGAGAAGATGGTGGTGTGGTGACAAGGCTGGCAAAAGACAATGACTTCTCCTATGGTCGTCCTCGAGACTTGTTGCTGGGGGACAATTTTCTGAAAGAAGAAGACAGGCGAATGGTGCTTGAGGAGATTAAAATTGAGAAGCCCAAACTGATCACCATGGGATTCAATTGTGACCCCTGGACACCGCTTAGCAACTTCTTGGATGAAGACACTCGTACAGCACAACAAGAGACAGCACTGGCACACCTGACATTTGTGAAGGAAATTTGTGAATTGCAGGTGTTGGGAGGTCGCCACTATTTGTTGGAAAACCCATTGTCATCGCAAATTTGGAAGCATTTGATGGAGATGTTGGAGCACATTCCACATTACACAGTGCGGATGGATCAATGCATGACTGATCTGAAAGACGTGAATGGTGATTTTGTGCTGAAACCAACCCGTTTCGTGACATCCTCTCCGGTTTTGGCTTCACTGCTCAGTGTTCGCTGTTCAGGTGATCATGACCATGCCGAAGTTCAGGGAAGAGAACAAAAGGACGGGCAAAACATCTCATCATTGCTGGGACAATGGACACCTCAGTTGGGGGTGATCATCCTTGAGGGAATCCAACGACAAACACTTCTAGAAGAGCAATGTGGTGAAGTGAAGTACCATCTTGAGGAGGCTGATGTTTTTCACAGTGCTTTGAAAAGAAGCTCAGAAGTGGTGTTCCGGCAACGTGAAGAAGAAGAGCTTCAAACATGGGAGGAAGTGCCGGTTCTTTTGAGAAGTGCAATCACCAAGGTGCATCGACAATATTCCCATTCACTGTACAAGGAAAACTTCAGCAGACACCTGAAGTTGTCAGGAGCCTCAGATCGGGCAATCAAGGCAGCAATGTTGTTCACTTGTCCGACTTGTGAGAAGGAGAGACGCAGTCCCGCAAAGCCCATTGCAGCCGTGCACAAGTACAATCACTGCAACCAGTGTGTTGCCATGGACATTGCACACATTCCTGACCAAGATGATGTGATGCATTCCTTTTTGATGATGGTCGACATGGCAACAAATTATACCATGGCATCTTACCTATGTTCAGGTGACAGTCCTGGAAGACCAAAGAAGCCACAATCATCACAGTGTCGAAAGTCACTGATGGATTGGATGGAAGTGTTTGGTGGCCCAGAGAAAGTGCAGGTGGACCAAGACGGATCACTCAGAGGCGATTTCCGTGATTTGTTGGATCGCTATGGGATTGAAGAAATCCTTGTAGCCCGAGATGCACACTGGTCATATGGTATTGTGGAGCGAAAGATTCTGACAGTGAAAGAAATGATGTTGAAATTGGTGCATGACAGTGAGATCCGTGGTGCTACATTGTCAAGAGTAGCGGTCATTCAGTGCACTCAGACGATCAACAGACTTTCGAACTTCAGAGGATTTTCGCCTGCTCAATGTGTCCTTGGTTTTCAACCCAACCTTCCGAAGATCATGAGCGATGGAAGAAGAATTCCAATAGCTGACAATGAAGATCATTTTGCATTGGCACAACGGATGAAGCTCCTACAAGACTGTGAACATGCTTTTGTGAAAGCCAACCATTCAGCATCGTTTCGTCGTGCATTGCTGTCACAGACTCGTCAACAGCCAGGTCCTTTCGACATGCACAGCCTCGTGATGTACAAGAGGAAAGGCTTGAAACACAAGGTGTACAAGCAGTGGCATGGACCAGCTCGAGTCATTGGCAAAGATCTTCAAGGCTACTGGCTCATTCATCGCGGCTCGCCAATTTTGGCACATCCTCACAACTTGA